AGAAATTCTAGGGTTTGCCTTTTACTTTTGCTCTATACTAAAATAGTTCTGATATGGTGAAATTGGATATAAATTTTTGATGGTTTCTTGTTTTAGTTGAAAAAATTTTTAAGTAAAATTATAGTTAGATGCAATTATATCCCGTTCACAAGAATTCGAGAATATCTAATGACTGGCTAGAAAACAAAACAAAATACTGTCAATATATCTAAAGTTTTCGAAAACTCATAAAAACTACATGGTCAAATATGTTTGCACTTTTCAGAGAAAAGAAGTTCAAGTATGAAAAACAACGGTATTCCTCTAGTAATTATCATTGAATTATAGAAACACAGGAAATATATTTTCAAGTAGTTTAAAGACAATAATCTGCTAATTTCAAGTTTAAACTCACTCAACTCCTTTTTAGTCAGTATAATGAAAATCTAAACAAGAAATGTCTTTAGAAACATTTTACAAAAAGGAAGAATTTGGGGAAAAAGTAATTTTTTCTTCTTTTAGGTAAAATCGTCTCATCAGTTTCTATTGTTTAAGCATATATATATATACTTGAGTGACTTTGTGCTAATTTTTCTTTAAACACTACAATTTTTTAAAGAAACACAATTATATAGAACTAGAGAATTTATAGCACTAAGTCAAAATACGCTATCAGAATTTTAAAAAAAAATTGTTTTTCATTGTAGAGAAATGTGTACTTCATTCGTTCAAATATATTCATATAATCATATGACACTGAAGAGAAAGGTTTATATTCATAAGTAACAATAGATTTTCAACAACAAATATAGAAATGAGAGACAAATTCAAAGTTACAAAGTGATAATATTATAATATCTCTTCAGCAGTTGAACAGATTTAATTTCTTTTCAAGAAAAAACAAATTTGACCTAGTTTTACGATTGCGTTCGCTGAGGACGAATAAAATATATAGTACATGAACTTAAATGCAAGATAAACAGAGTATTATTCATTATCGTACTATTCATATTTTGGGTGCGAAATCTACTTGACTCACAAAGCGTGACTATATTAATATCTCATTTTCATGCGTCATATCACTGAGTGACGTAAGGTCGATGCTACGTCATTGTCCTACTTATCCTATAAATAGAGTGTTCTAAGTCTTTTACTCAACAAAAAGAACACATTTTTATATTCTCGTATAAACAACTAGAAACGGTAAGAACAACTTTATAAAACAATGTCCATCATTGCATTACGTAGGATTTTAACTGACTACGGTTATAATCAGTATTTCACAGTGAGTAATTTTGGTTTATCATGCGGATATGATGTTTTTTTTAATGAACATTTATTTCGTTTCTAACGTTGTTGTTTCTAAGACTCGTGAGAACAATCAAAAGTTAAAACAGTTATTTTCAAAATAATTTATTTTTCGAAAAATTCACCAGATAAACATCTCATGGCAAAATAATAGAAGGAAAACTATTTCTTTGTACAATAATAATATCGTATATGAATCGATGAGGTTTCTTGTGCTGTAATTTTGAGTCTCAGCTAAAATTGGTTTCTATATAAACAGAGCATGATTACTATCCAGCTTTTCTATATGAGCTTCGAATGTTAAGGACGATTTTTGAAATGAAATATTATCCGATGACATTATGTGTTTTAATAATAATAATGATATAAATAGAAGAAATATTTTAATTAAAATCTCGAAATCGATCAGCATTATTCGTTACTGATAATATATATCGGAGAAGCGACCTAGATAGTACGTATCGCTTTGCATAATTGTGTTACGCTGAATATGAAGAATTCATAGTTCTTTAGAATTTCTTAACAGCCTACTGGTCCGTTTTGAGTTTTGAAAAAATGATGTTTCTTCTGTTTATATCACTATTGTTAAAAGAAATAATGCCTTCAGATAATATACCATTTAAAACATCATCCAAAGTACTCGAAGCTCATATAGATACATTTGGATAGGAGTTACTCTTTGTTTACATATAGATTAATTTTCATTGAGGCTCAGAAAGTATGAAACATTCGTTATGTGTTGTATCTCCATTTAATTAGACGTTTTCACTATTCCGCTTTCGCCTATCTAGGTTGTTGAGGCTGATAATTCGCATAATCAGATGTTTTCATCATCCAGCTCTACATCAATCAATTTTTTCAGGGCGCGATTTCAGACTACCGGCTGTTTTTGAGATCTGACTTTCATGTAATCAGTTTTCTTAGGTTAGCAGATCTGCCACACATATATATAGTGTGAGCGTGGTGATGAAAGTACACCAACAGTTGAGCCTTTTATATGAAGTTTTAATCAAACTAAATAATAAGCTTTATGTAAATTGTTCACTAAGATTTGATGGCATACTAATTATAAAGATATACACAACTAATTAATCACTCTCCTTGATCAACACGTCAGCGACGCTTTTTAAAGGAATAACAAGATTTCTCAGTATTTGATCAGTCATTTACCTGGGCGAATAATATATGCACATCGGAACAAAGAAAACGTGGACGTATCATTCAACCCCCACTACATCAAAGCTCGAATGATGGGAGCTCTTCTGTGAGGAGGCTCAAATATCGCGGCTCATTGTCGGGAGCTCAACTGTTATGCCACTAGTGATGAGATAAAGGTGAATGTGGGCGTGCGCGAGATTATGTGCATAGACTAGAATGTTGGGCTTCACTATAAATATGGGTGCAGCTATGGCTATAGATATGCCTGCAGATTTTCGTGTGGGCATGAGATTGATATGAGTGTTGCACGTGAAATGGGTTGTCAGATATTTTGTATTTGTTGGATGCTAATGTGAAATGTGGTCATGAGTATCCAGGAACACAAGACTTCCAAAAAACGCGTTTAAACACATTAAGAAGGTGTTAAGTCATTAAAACGAGTAGGTTTTTTAAAAAAATACTCAATTTTAGAAGTGTTCTCCGCGATTTTTACAAGTATTAAGGCGTTCAAATTCTGAGTGTGCTAAAAAGCGACAATTTATTCTGAAAAACGATCTGTTTTTCGAGGTGATCTTACTGATTTAATCATTAAATCACCACTATCTGTTTTTTGAACAAGACTAGAAGTGTGTTAAGCGAGTTGCTTTCTCGATTACAATTAAATGTTCAATATTTTGTAATTAAAAAATGTATTTTTTTTGTAGTAACTATTGTGAATGATTAGTTATTTAAACACTGATATGACTCATAAAACAGAGAGGGGAATCATTCTGAAGCGTATTGACACTACGATAAAGTTACTTGATTTTTAAATCATCAAGGATATGTCCCGGGATAGTGATTTTTTCTCACAATTTTTTTTTTACTTTTATCCATCTGAGAGGTGTTTGGGAGTCACTAGAAGTATTTCCCATGACTTAGTTTTGCGCCATTTCGAAGTCAGGTTTTTGCCCCGTATGGTCCTCCCAGGAATGAAAAAAACGTTTTTGCCTAAAAAATCGACAAATGAGTATGATTTATATACCGTTTTGTGCGCTGATCACGAATATCATATTAATATTTGGATTGGGTTGAGTTGAGTTTTGTATACAAAAAGAGCATTTTACTGTTATAAATGGACTACAGAGTCATTTTTGAATACATTAGTCTGTCTATGAATAAAAATATTGTTTCCTTCTTTCTAAAATATGCTGAAATGTGGAAAAATATTTATTCTGTTCATTTTTTGTTGATTCAGTTATAAAAATAGTCGATAAGCGATTGAAATATTTCATACAATTAGAAATGCCTTACAAAAAGGCATGATTCATCTTTTTCCACGACCTTTTAGCATCACAAAATGGTCAAGTGTCAAACAGTTATATATACTATTCGATATAGTCTTTTTATACTGATTCACAATATGATATCAAAAAAAGTATTAAAAAACTTGTACAACACTCTGAAAATGGCTAAAACCGTGGAAACACACTATTTTTGAGTCTGTATATGATCAGTATATACACCAAAACTACTTGAAATTTTAATTTAACTGTCATATTCAGATTCAGCGGAAAAGAACTGTATCTAAGAATATACTTAATATAATTTTAGTAAACAATTTTTTTTTCATTTCAAAAGCACTCTGAGGTCCACCACTTTATTCATTAGCACACTAATACATTCAAAAATGACTCTGTAGTCCATCTAGTGGTAAAATGCTGTTTCTGTGTATGAAACTCAACCCAATCCAAATATTAATATGAAATTCGTGATCATCGCACAAAACTGCAGATGAATGATACTTCTCTGACAATTTTTGAGGCTAAAATGTTTTTCGATTCCTGGGGTGTGGTGTGACCGCAGGGGGCAAATTACATGACTTTGAAATGATGCAAAACTACCTCATGGGAAATATGTCTAGAGACTCTCGAACACCTCTCAGATGAATAGAAGTCAACAAAAAAAATTGTGGAGAGGAAATGACCATTCCGGAATACATCATTTATTGTATTTTACATTTTTCATTATCATTTAAGATTCTTTTACTCTACCTAACTCTAAACAATTATAAACTATTGCTTTAAAATAGTTCTATATATTGCTGAAAATCGTTTCATTTATATAATTACAGTAAATTGAAAATTAAAATGGTTTGGTGGATGTTTTTGATTGGTTTTTATATTATTGCTGTTGTCATTTTCCATGTTTATGTACGATACTTCTCTTCTCTTCGATATAATTTTGAACCAAAATATCCTCCTGTTATCATTGAACCATGGTATTGTCCATTTTTGGGTCCTCTACTCTCATTGCTAGATATTGAAACGTCAATCAACAACTGGCAAAAGAAATACGGCGATAACTTTACAATACTTATGTTGGGACACTATATAACAGTTATCACGAAACATGTTGACGTGAAGAAATACTACACTGTACCTGTACACATGCTGAGTCTAACAAGAGGATTTCAGATTCTTTTGAAATCGGTATATCCGGAGAGTCATTACATGTTAGAATACAGTTCAATACCCCACTTTCATAATATAATGACTTCTCATAATTTACGTTGCATGACATCTCATATTGAAACTGTTGTATATGAATATTTTAATACAAAGAATGGCCAATTTTGGGAGGAAAATGGTAACGAAGTTAAGATCGATTTATTTGAATTCATGTATCGTCTTGTTTTGCGTATGAATTCTATCAATTTTATCTCACCAAGAGTGTACAAAAATCATGTTGATGAACTTATTAAAATTTATACCGAATTAGATGCTGAAAAAATGTTGCTCAATCCAATTTTAAATAGTTTTAAAAGATTATTTTCATTTAGAAATAAAATGGAAAGTTTGTGGGATCGATGGATACAAATTCTAATGCCTGATATTGAAAGATGTTTGGTGATGATCAAAAACAATATTGAACCAAGTGATATGGATATTGCCTATGAATTAGTGAAATATTCTAAACAAGAGTTGGAAAAACACGGAGAATCATTCACACCTCGATTAGTTGCATTTCTTTTTTATTCATCTTTATTTCCAGCACAAGTCAACACGTATACAGTTGCAGCATCTATGATTCTTGAATGGATTCGTCATGAACATGATGATATTGGACGACGGATTAAAGAAGAAATCGATCGTGTACCACCAATCGGTGAGCTCACCATTGAATACTTAAATTCAATGGATTTTATTCAAGCATGTATTCATGAAGTCATTAGAATGCGCACTAATTCTCAATTAAGTATGCGATATGCTGAAGAAGACATTCCATTATCGAACGAAAAATATATTCCAAATGGAAATCTTGTTGCAAAACCTATGACTTGTACTAAGGACATATTTCTTAATTCAGAGAAATTCGATCCCGAAAGACATTTACCACCAAGGGAAGAAAGTAAAGCTGATCGTTATAGAGTGGCACCATTTGGACGAGGTAAACATACATGTTCTGGTGAAAGATATGTTAATATACAGATCAAAGTGTTACTTATTCAATTATCGAGAGTGTGCAAAATGGAAATCATGAAAGAATCTATCAATTTTGAAGCGACAGTCAATAAGAAGCAATTATCAGGACTAAGTCGTCCAACAAAACCCGTTTTCGTCAAAATATCAAAGAAAGAATGATGACATTACGAATCTCACTTGAGTAATTTTTGTGCAACCTATGTATTTTCTTATTCAAGACCGAAAAATAAATGAAAAAAAAAACTCTTTATTTAATAGGATAATTATGCGGTGATTACATTTATTTGACCTAATTCTTTTGAGATCATATATTTTGGTAGAATTTTTTAGTAATATTCTGGATATTTCTGAAATGGGTGTGCACCAAACCCAACCATTCGATTTCGGTCTCAGAATTCAGATTCAATCTTCACTGCAGTCATTTTCAGTTAGTTAATACGAATAATTAGATACCACCCAAAAGCAAAAGGATTCCCGGCTTCGCAACGACAGATCTCAGATAGTGGACTAACTAACACAAAATCCAAAAATTTGGGAAAAATCTAAAAGTGAGGGTGTAGGCGTCGATGTCAATATGGATATGGGTGAACTATAGGCTTACATCCATATCTAAACCCACCCCCAAGCTTACACCCACATCTAGGCTTACTCAGACTACAAATAATTGGGAAACACCCATACTAAAAGAGATCGCAACAAGTAAAAATGGTGTTGTTAAAATTTATCAACGAGGCAGTGATTCGGTGACGACTAGTTATCCTCAGCCACGATAACTTTAATAATTCGATTTATTCAATGGGATAGTTATTGGTTTCTTCAGTTTGCATCAAAATCCGGACAATTATCTACGGATTTTATGCGTGTCATGAATCAACAAAGCAATCCATTATTACTAATGAAATCTACAACGTTTTTTACTGTCATTCATATTGCATTAATGAATTATTTAAAGGACTGGGGCTTATTTAGTGGGCGATCGGTCGACAGTACTTTCTGAAACAAACTCCTTACTCTCTTATATAGGATGACAGCGTTTACTAAGTTGGCCATTTTTTTTTGTAGTATGAGTATTGCTATCGATATGTATCTTCTCGTTACCCTCACGAAACTCCAAACACATATATCTTGAAGAAATAAATCCTTCTTTTTTCTTGGACACTTTTCCGGTCATATTTTTCGTTCTACCAATTCGATATTATT